GATCTTTTCCAGATCGGTCCATCTCCCGCCACTCTCTTTCTCTCTCTCTCTCTCTCTCTCTCTCTCTCTCTCTCTCTCTCTCTTTTTATATATATTATTTGGTCCATATCTCGGTTGAAGCGTGTCATCCTTGTGCAGCCTCTCTCTCTCTCTCTCTCTCTCTCTCTCTCTCTCTCTCTCTCTCTCTCTCTCTCTCTCTCTCTCTCTTTTCTTCTTTTTTTTTTATATATTATATGGTCCATATCTCGGTTGAAGCGTGTCATCCTTGTGCAGCGGCTTCGTCAATGTTCTCCGTGTCGGTCCATCTCCCGGCTCTCTCTCTCTCTTTTTTTTTATTTTTTCTTTTTTTGTTACCTTGTCCATATCTCGATTGAAGCGTGTCATCTTTGTACAGCCGCTTTGTTGATCTTTTCCAGATCGGTCCATCTCCCGCTGTTCTCTCTCTCTCTCTCTCTCTCTCTCTCTCTCTCTCTCTCTCTCTCTCTCTCCCCCTCTCTCTCTCTCTCCGTTTTTTTTTTTTTAAACATATGCTCCATAAGGGTTCGAGGGGAGGGAAGGAGTGTTTGCGGGCCTTGGAGGAGGGTTTGCAGGGCGTTGAAGAGGGGCTGATGTCCACCTGTCTGTGGGTTCTATGTGCGCAGGCGAAGTTGACGATGGCGCTGGTGAAGCAGATCTTGCAGTCTCTCACGAGGCACTTCACCAATGAAGGTCCTTGCGGCAAGGACCCTGGCAAGGGGTCGAGGCACTGGCTGTGCAACTACTGCGAGACGCGGTTCGTTGGCACGAAGTCAGTCCTCGAGAGGCACTTCCGAGCTTGTGACTCGTGCATTGACAGCGGAGGAGAGGGTGACCAGAATTCAGGGCATCCGGCTGGGGAAACACCAGGCCAGTCTGATCGAAGGCGCAACTGGTGGAAGTGGTGGTCCAAGCACAGGACCGTCTTCTAGCAGTTTCGTGCCTCCAGCATCATCAGCACAGAGGCCGAGTGATGGTGAGACGTCCTCGCCTGCAGGATGGAGACATGCTTCCCTCCTGCCCCTGGAGGTGGTGGACGGTCGGTGAGGCCGACGCCGCACGAAGAAGTTGCCGGAGAGATTGAACAAGCTGGTGTACAACAATTGAAATATCCAATTGTCGACGCGAAGAGAGTGAGGGGACGGGGAAAACGTGCACATCCCGTGGAAGGACGATGAGCTCGCAAGCATGGAGGTGGATGAGTGGTACGACGAATGGGTTGCACGGGTTAGGGAAGGGACAGCCGACTATGTTGCTGCGACGGAGGTCCGTGCGGACGATTTTGATGATGCCCCGCTAGAGCGCACATGGCTGCGGAACAATGAGGAGAACTTCGCGGATGACGAAGACAATATCGCCGCACTTGGTTCGATGGAGAGAACATGGCACGCGAACACGAAACCCGGGAAGCACCGGATGCGGGAGCTGCGCAGGAAGTCTGGTGTTCAAGAGCCCAAACCCGGGTTCGTGTACACGTTGGAGGGTCGTGACCGTGCAATGAAGGCACGTCAAGGGAGGAAGTGTCGGGGCGCGGGCGGCGCAAGAAGAAGGCAACGGCATCGGACGTTGCTGAGGAACAGCCGGTTCAGAAACGAAAGAGGAAGGTCGCAGAGGAGGATGCAGCACCAAAAAAGAAGAGAGGGCGGCCTCCGCTTTCGCCCTCGAAGAAGGCTGCAAATGCAGCAGCATGTGCAGAGGCCGCAAGGGCTGCAGCAGCCGAGGTGGGAAGGCCTTCGAGGAAGAGAACGGCCGAGGTGATCGAGGATGACGAAGAAAATCCGGGTCCCAGCCGGAAAAAGCAGTCTTCTTCATCCTCGTCATCGTCGTCCGAAGACAGTTCACCGCAGGAGGAGGAGGAAACGTCCCAGCAATCGGACGATAGTGGAGAGGCGGACGGCGATGAGTCGGATGAGGACAAGTCGCAGGCGGAGTCAGACGGGGAAGAACAGTCCGGGGAGGAGGACGAGTAGACACTTGTGAATTAGTATAGTGAGGGTAGTGTGTCCTCGTGCGCTTTTGTGGTCCTGAAACAACAAACTTTGCAAACTCCGCTTTTGGTATATTGAGCCTGACAATTTTTTTTTGTCTTGAATCTTGTGATGTTTCTTGTTTTCCGCCTGTGTTTGAAAAATGGACATGCATCCTCTGATTCCTCTCTGATTCAACGCACAACGCTCAACCAAGTGAGTTACCGAAACCCAACAGTGTGTGTTTGCAACTGTGTGTGTGCGTGTGTGTGTGTGTGTGTGCTCAAACGAAATGTCAGAAAAAAAAAAAAAAAAAAAAATCCTGCTGAGATCAGTGACTGTGTGTGTGTGTGTGAGTGTGTGTGTGTGTGTGTAAGTGCTCTCCATGTTAGGCACTGTGTGTGTGTGCCCGTGTGTGTGTGTGCGGCACTGTGCGCCTGTGTGTGCCTGTGTGTGTGTGCGTGTGCCTGTGCGTGTGCCTGTGTGTGTGCCTGTGTGTGTGGAAATAGCAGTAAAATAAAAATATATATAATTAATGGTGTGCGCACCCGGCGCACCTGCACCCCGCCAGCGCGCACCCCCTAGCGCACCAGCGCGCGGCGCACCGGCCCTGATCGCAACGCACTGTGCACTGCGCACCCGGGTGCGCGGCGCGCGCCGGTGCGCGCGCACCTCGGGTCCGCGCAGCGCACAGGGTCGGTGCGCCGCAAGTATGGTTTTTTTGTGTTTTTGATTTTTCACTCGAGTTTGGTACAGAATTTTGCAATGAGTCTCAGGCAAAAGTTGTTTGAAATATTATTTTGCATATCATACTTTTTTTCAGATTTTTCTGATTTTTTTTTTTTTAATGTATTCACACCTACGGGAGTACGTGTACGCGCGTACGTGTCGCGTACAGGAATTCAAGTACGCGTGTACGCGCAAACCGCGTACATGTACGCCATGCAACCCAGCATTAATATAATAATAAAGAGCGAGATAAATTGGAGTGGGCCCAGTACAATAACGCTGATGCCAATATAGTCTGCACTACACAGCCAATGAAGAAAAAAAAAGGCGATCGAAGACTTAACTGGCCCTTCGGGACATCCGTTAAAATTGGAGCGATACAGAGAATGAAGATTAGTGGGAGCACACAGGCCAGCTTGGACAATGAGTGAGCTCTTTCTAGGTGGCATAGAATTATTTGGCAGACCTGGCTCCCAGGTCTGAGAGGAAAGAGTGAGACGCGGCAAGCTGACAGTTAATCCTCCACCAAGGTGGAGCAATCAATGCTGCTCAGGGGTCCTTCGGCCAGACGAAAGGAAGCGTGGGTGTGTGTATCCTTAATGTTTTACATTTGACTTGCCGGGGGATTAGGAACCGGACTGTTGCTCCCCAGAATGGTCGGAGCCAGAGCCACAGGTTCTGTATTGAAAAAAAAAAAAAAAAAAAAAGATTAGCATGGCCTCTGCACAAGGATGACACCTATAAATCGAGACTTGGACTGTAAGTGAGCTAATTTATTTACTGTCATAGATAGATAGAGACAAAATCGACGACCTCAGTCGACTGTTATACCGACCAACGATGGACATTTGGCATATATCCAACCCGAGAGTGAGTAACTCACTTTAGCTATTTCACAACCGAACAACGGCCATTTGTGGCTAGCCACCTGCATTGAGCCTGAGCGTCTTTGAAAATAAGGGCTTCACTTTTTTTCACCAAACAACAGTCGTTAGTGAAGGCTTCACTTTTTCACACCAAACAACATACGGTGTGCCTGCCCACCTGCCTTGAGCCTGCGCATCTTTGAAAAGAAGGGCCGAAGGCTAAAAGCGTTGCTTCAAAAAAAGGGGGGCCAAAAGCTAAACCGAGTGGTGGAGGGGGACCTGCGTAGCGGCGGCGCCGAAGCGCACTATGCGACGCAGTGTTTGTGCTAGTTGAGATAGGGTTAGAAAACAGGACTCGGCCGCCATAGCCCGGCGCACAAAGCACGGGCGAGACGGTTTTCCTCTCACGACGACTGTGCATTACTTGCACGATGCACGTTGGACGTTACTGAGTGAGTTCGTTCCCCTTGCGGAGGATAGTTGGTGGGTGAGGGAATGTGTCTAAAGTAAAGTATTGAATACATCGAACATGCTTGAAGAGCACGTGGCACTTCGCGCCCTTCCCATGGAAGATCCCGCCCTAGGGCGGAAACGCGGATCTTTTTTGGAGTGCCTCCCTTTTTGGGCTTCTGCAGCCGTACTTTTTGTTTGAGGAAGAAGTGAAGAATTGACTCGAAGAGGACGAGTACAGTGAATCAGGGCGGGGGAGTGAATGTATACGTGAAAGGCGACGAAATGAAAACTGGAGTTGCAGGTATATTCTCTCCCCGTTCACAAATTGTTTCCTGTTCAGTACACCGCCAACGCCCTGAATACTAACTAATATCTCTTCTGCATACATAGAGATCTGATAGCCACAGGCGTGAGCCTTTGCTGAAGGACGGGGTCTAGACACGTTTTCAGACATTAATTGAAGTCCTTGCTTATTCGTGAAGCTCAGAGCGCTCCAGTATGCAACAAGCAGCATCCTCGAAATACGGAAGTAGGTTTCTAACCTAGACGGCTTTAGGGCTGTAAACGGGGAGAGGCTATAAGTACTGTATCGAGAAAGTATACGGGATAGGGCTGCCGTGGTCTGGCATAGCATGGGGGTCCCATCACGGAGTCATCGGCGAAACTCAGGCCGTTATATAAGGGCAGACAAAAAGAATCTCACGGTCCGATCTTGTTCAGGTACCATTCCCGACTTGACTGCGAAACTCGTAATTGTAGTGCACCGTGGGAACATACCTTTCGGCCAGTTGTGAAGTGGGGCAGTCTGAAAAAAAAAAAAAAAAAAAAAAAGAACTCGAAAAGCACCAGAGTGTATTCTGATTGATCACGGACGCGCCGGCGGAAGTCAGGCGCAGAGTTAGGGCGGCCTGCACCCAAACTCAAAATTCAGCCCGCCCTGTGCACTTTTGTGTGAAGATCATTTTTTGGATGAGAGGTCATCCCGGAGGGAGAGCATATGCATAAAGCCTGGAAACAGGCTTTATACATGGCAGGTGGGATGTTTGATGCCTAGGCACTTCTTAGATGCTGCTCGTAAGTCCAGGACAGCAGACCAATAAACCCTTATACCTACTCAATCTTGAACAACGCTGGCAAGATCTCGGGAACTCTGGACGACCTTCA